GGCTGACCTTCTACATCTACATGAAGGAATTGTGAACAGTGTGAGACTGAACAAAACAAACGTGGATTGCATCTCCGCTTTTGCTTTGTCCTATACTTAGACGTGACTGTTACAACTCAAACACCCGACAGCAAGACCACGTGCTTGAAACGAAGAAGACGATCATAACACCGGAAACGCGGAGCTTGCAACGGCGATATCTCGTGTTAAAGGTGTTGGCGCCCCAGGAGTATAAGTGCCGAGGCGGCCAGAACTATTTCCTCGACACCCCCACGCAGTCTAGCCCCATACGCATACGTCATCCCTGCTTTTCACCCGCAGAACCCACCTGCATCTGCATCATTCGAGCGCGCGTCTACCCAGCAGTGCAACGAGACAGACACCCGACATCCCTACCCTTCCGCATACCCACGAGGCCCGCACCCTTGATTAGGCCTACGGCAGTTACCGCCTCGCACAGAATAACTGGCACGCCGGTGCCACACGATCCATCCATAGAGTCACATCGCAACCGGGTGCAACATGCCTGGATCGTTTTCGAGGATTCGCGACAAGGCGAGGCGCCACCTGGGTGATCCTAGTCCGGATGAGGCCTATCTTTCTTGTGAGTCTGCATCGAGAGAGTGCAAGAGGGCGAACACTGACTGAGAGTAGATCACGATGTGAGGGGTGTGTACGCGTCGCCTGTTCCTTGACTTGCGCTTCCATGCGCTTTTGACTAATCAACGACCATACTGACGACTACAGTGACGCGAGCCGACTTGGACAGTATCAAGTCTAATGACTGGCTTACGGACAATGTGCGCATACCACTTCCTCCCCATCCACCACAGTCATGACTAACGCATCAACAGGCAATCGCCTTCTGGCAAGAATACCTCGAGCGCGAAGAGCTCAACGCCTTCCCCAAAGCCTCCATCGTCCTCCTCCGCCCCTCCATGTCCTACATGCTCATGCAAAGCGCCGAGCCCCTCTCCCTCAAAGAAGTCCTCCCCAACTTCAGCCACACAACCCACGTCTTCCTGCCGATAAATGACAACACCGACGTCACACAAGCCGAAGGCGGCTCGCATTGGTCCCTCCTCCTCGTGTCCATCATCGACGGCGTGTCCTTCCACTACGACTCCATGACCCAGTCCAACGAGCGGGAAGCACGGAGTACGACTATGAAGCTGGAACAACTGTTGGGCAAACGACTGCGGTTTATCCCTATGAATGATAGTCCGCAGCAAGAGAACGGCAGCGACTGTGGCGTATTCGTTTGTGTGCTCATGCGGCATTTACTGCTTAAGAGGCTGCTTCGGGCCGATGCGAGCAAGAAGGTTAGCATGAGCATGCGGGATGCACACATCAATGCGAAGGATGGACGGAGAACTATGCTCAAGGTCATCGAAGAGAGGAGGGATGAGGGCAAGCGGAGACGCTCGTAGGTTTCTCATACTTGAGTACGACTACAGAGAAGAAGCTAACATTTGTGCAGAGGAAGCCACTCGCCGTTTAGGAACCCCTCCGCCCACTCCAAGAGCCCGCCACGTATAGGCGACGAACAGTCACAGGAGCGTTAGTACCCGCTGTGATTTGTATCGAAGGGATTTCATGGCCGAGCCCTATGCGATGGAAATTAAGAACACGGCCTTGTTCTCCTGTGTGAACGTAGCACTGCATACACCGCATCCCCGGTTATAAATACGTGAGCGAGCGTAGGATACCCCTCACTCGGGAGACGGACTGAATGGGGTTATGAATTACGATTTACGTGTTTCATGTTTACGCAAATATACGAATAGCTGGCATCATCACTGGAGTTGATAGTATTAATGGAACACGCATCTTAACATCTTTACATTGCGAGTTGGGCTAGGAATATATGCGCATTCGAGCCTATGTGCATGTCTGGTCTGTGACAGATACCACTAACCAACGTGATAGCGCCACTCATGCATATACAAACGTGTCCAGACGCTTGCTTCCAGATCCTAGACCCCAAAAACGATAGATGCGCGCTCTACGAATCCCGCAAAGTGCTCTAACCCGTTCAACACGTCTAAGTCGTATTGTCGTCTGCCTTGGTTTCCACCGGCTTAGCTTCGCCCTTGGGCACAAGATTACCGTTGTCATCCCGCGGGATACGTTCCCAGCCCGTCTTAAACCTCTTCTTGCTTGCGTCGAAGCGAGGCAACGGATGGGCCTCAGTATTCAGAACGATCTGATCGAGAGGGAGGAGGTCGTCGGGAGAGAAGAGAAGGTACATGTATTTGAGCGTCTCGGCCTGCATGAATGTGTTAGTAAACCAATCCAATGGTTTTGAAAATATGGAAACGAAGGGGGAAAAGGAACTTACAAGCCAGAAACTCTCCATGTTGTCTCGCGACGGAGGAGGTACCTTCGTCACATCACCGATACTAGAGAACCCGCCATTGTCCTCTACGATAGTATGTTTGACGAAAGCTTCAAACATGTCCCAGCCCCATTCGCGGTAGATGTCATCACCGGTTATGCGCCACATGTACAGGAGCGACTCTACTGTTTCTGGTCGCTGAAGATTATGCGTATCAGCTGGCTTGAGGTCGAAATCGCTCTTCCAGCCCTCGCCGTCGGGGACACTGGTGTCGAGCTCGGATTTGGACGCGAGGATCTCGGTGCGGTACATCTTGGGCGGGTCGTCGAGCTGGAAGTAGGCGATTTCAGGGGCGAGACCTGTGGCGGTTACTTTGTACATGCCCATGCATGTTTTTGTGAGTTCGCGGGCGAGGGTTATGTCTTCTTCTTGTGCTTTGCCCCAGGTGGGTAGTTTGCGGGCGTCGGCAAGGGGGATGCCGCCGGTTGCGGCGAGGGCGATCGTGCCGGGAAGAAAACAGACGAGGTGGTCCATCTTGGGGTGGAGTTTGCCTTCGATACCGCTTGGTCGCTCTGCCAGGACGGTGAAGTGGCTGTTCTTCGTGTATGTGAGGAGATGCTTCTTTGCGCCGTTGAGCGACTCGTTCCACATCTCTTGGTAGACTGGTTCTTGCTTCTGGGTCTGCAGGTACTGCTTGATGAGGTATTCGTAGTAGCTGTCTCCACGGCTGCCCCATCGGATCTCGCTTCCGCGGAAGGTGCCTTTGTCTGCGTAGATGAAGATGGGTAGGAGACCGTCTTTGGCGCCGTTGTCATCCACGACTTTCATTACTTTCTCAGCTACATCCCAGTAGTGTGCCTCACCGGTGAGGAACGCTAGGTATTTCATCTCGAGTTGGAGAGTGGTTGCTTCGGCTGTGGAGGACGCACCGCCGTCGGCGTGCGAGGCTTCGCCTTTGGCGTCTCTTAGGATCACACTGGCCCAGGGCACACCCGAAGGTGACTCGTACGCGCCCATGAGACGATCAGCCAGGTCGGTAGCTTTCTCCAGGAAGAGGTCCTCCTCGTTTGAGTTCTCAGGCTTCAGGCCCGGAAGTGTCTCCTGCAAGTAGTGTGCAGACAGCAGACCACCAAGCATGCGTATAGTTGTCTCGAAGGTATTGACATCCTGCTTCTTGTCGTAATCGAGGCTCGTCGAAATCCATTGCCGTGCGTGGGTGAGTTCTTTGGTGAGGTTCATGATCATGAGCGTGTCGAGCGCGTCCACGATGATCCAGCCCAGACCGTTGGGCTCAGCCATGTATCGACCCTTCTTCGAAACGGGGTGGTACTCGTCGTAGCCCCAGCCATGTTCCTCGTATGCGTTCCAACTCAGCAAAAACGCGTCCTTGACTGCTTGTCTCCGCTTCTCCCAGTCAACTTTGCTCTTCTTTCCGGCAGCACTTCCACCTATATTTGACAACAAGCTCTTGCCCTTATCCTTCTCGTCTTGTACTGTGCCCACGTTTGTGCCACCACTAGACCATCCGAACCAGTAGAACAGCCCCAGCACTACCAGTGCTATCAGCGACATGCCCCTCTTACTCCGCAGGAAGCCTTTCCTTCCCCTCGCACCACCGCCATATCCATAGCTTTTCCCCGAAGGCTTGTCCTTATACATTGGCAAGCCCTTTTCGTTCCCCGGTAGTTTGTTCCAAACATTATCTTCAAACTTTCGTTGCGCGCTCTCGAAATTGGGTACGTTGCGCGGGATGGCGAAGGACATATCTGAGTCCTGGATCGCCTGTTTCGTGGCCTCGACTGCCTGCTTGGTCGATTCGACAGCTTGCGAGGCTTTCTTGTTGGCGGCGTTCTGGAGGACGGCGAAGGCGGAGGGTGTCTTGAATGCTGTTTTGCTGCGGAGGTTGAACGGGTCGCGTGTCGAGTTCATGAGGCGGCGCGACGCGTAGTGCTGATTGAACAATAGACCAGGCGGAGCGAGTGTATTTCACCCTTGCGAAGTCTGATAACTTGACATCTTGCTCCAGACTCCAGTCGGCTTGGGAAGCAATGCTCAAAGCGCCCTCTGTCTGACTCGCCAGGTGTTCATTGCTCATCCCCGATGCAGATAGCTTGGCTAGACAGGGGTCCCGCATCTCAGGAAACATCAGCCACAGCGGAGTTCAATGGGGAAGCTCCACCTCACACCTCAGCCTCGTTGCGACTCGCAAGCATCGCTCTTCCTTGTGGTACAGATAGGACACGCGTACTCAGGCAGAAGCACAGTATAGCCTCCTTCCTCAACCAAATATATCTCAGCACGATGAGGTATATCAACAGCAGCTGCGATGCGGCAATATGTTTCCAGAAGTACTCGAGCTTTGTTCTTATGATCACCGCCCACCCTGCAGTATTTACGATTACCGCGTCTTGTCGTCATTGCTATCTACACGTTACGTGATGGCGTTCTACACCAAGGACGAGATGCGCTTCCTACTCTTTGCTCTCTTTTCCTGCCTACCCTTACACCGTTGCTTTCGCATTGCTCGCACACCTTCCCCGCCAGTACATAGAACAGAGACGCCTAGTATCGGAAAGTCGCAGTCAAGAGCGCATGTACGGAAGAGCAAGACGAAGCGATACGATTCTTCATCTACCATAACCATCTCACCAAGCGAAACGCAATGTCAGGCGCAAGCATGAAGCGCATTCAAATCACACCAGACGGCTCCGGCCCACCTACAAAACTCGACACTGACGTTCCTACCTCTTTACCCGACGCCAAAGAAACCAAGATCCATCCTCAGAACGCCCCAGACGCTTCAACAAATGCCTCCCTTTTCTTCGTTGGAACTGCCACCACAATCCTAGAGTGGGAAGGCATCCGCATTCTCACTGATCCCAACTTCCTACATGCTGGCGATCATGTTCACCTGGGACCTGGCGTTGGTGCGACGAGACAGACTAACCCCGCCATCGATTTGGAAGAGCTACCAAGAATCGATGTGATCTTGCTGTCGCACTACCACGAAGACCACTTCGACCGAGAAGTAGAGGAAAAACTGTCAAAAGGTCTCCCGATCATCACTACACCACATGCCAAGGAATGCCTGACAGGCAAAGGCGAGGAGTCGTTCAAGAATGTGCATGCGCTAGACTTCTGGAACAGCTTGCTCCTAGATGTATCGCAGTCAGACCAAACAAACAAAAGCGGTCCGAAGCCTAGCATCAAAGTCACAGGTGTGCCGGGCAAGCATGTACCCCCAGGTCCACTGAACGTCGCGAACGATATTCTTGGCGCTGTTCCACCTACGAATGGCTGGATGGTCGAATTAGGGTACTCGGATGGTTCTTCTAGCGACGGTAGTGACTTCGAGAACGGATACAGGATTTACATCTCTGGCGACACGCTGATGGTGGACGAGCTCAAGGAGATTCCTGAGCGATACAAAGATCAGAACATCGACCTGATGCTGGTCCACCTGGGAGGCACCACGATTCCTGGACCTAAGATGCCGTTGCTGATGGTCACAATGGATGCCGAACAGGGCGTACAGCTGATGCAGCTCATCAACCCCGACCTGACGATTCCAATCCATTACGACGATTATGATGTGTTCCTGAGCCCGCTGGACGATTTCAAGAAGGCGGTACACGCGGCGGGTCTAGATAGCAAGGTCGTGTATCTGGACCGCAAGGATCAGTACAAGTTCAACGTGAAGCAAGGACAGAAGCCGAAGCAATCGCTGTATTAGTAGCCCTATCGGTAGTGACTCTGCAACTAGCTGTTCAGCAAAATTGACCATGATACATGATGATTCTTGGTGCACGTCGGAAACAGGCTGTGGTGTTCGGAATGAAGTTTGACTTTTTTCATTCCTGGTGGTAACCCAGTGTGAAGGGTTCCGTGATGCCATTGAACAAAATTTATCCGTTGAGACGCCGTCCGCCCATGCCTTCGTGCTTCGTGCGCATCGTGCGTTGATGTCCTTGCACACTTCCGTCCTCAGTTCCTCATGCGTTCGATCTGTTTATGCGTGCTTGCCCTTGGGGTTCTTCTTGCCAACGTCGGTGATAGTAAGACCTGCGGTTGTTAGATTCGTGTCATTGGCGCTGGAGTATTGGGGATGTGCGTACCCGGGGGCAGACTCTGCTTGAGCTTCTCGGCCTTGTCGGTGTCCTTAAGAACGAGGGTGTAGACGTTTGTTGAGCATCGGACCTTGAACTTGATGTTGTTGACCTTCTTGTTCTTCTTTATGCGGGCGGCTGCGATAATGTCAGTCCAGTGCTCTCATCACGTTCGCTGCCTCGATCGTCGCAGGTCTCTGCGGCTCGCATTCATCGTGCACAATTCCTCCTCCTACTGCGACCGCAACCTCCCTCGGCAAAAGTGGTAAACATACACTTGGCATCCTTGCGCCTGCAGATCTCGATGAACTGCTTGATGTCGGAAACTTCGGAAGGCATCTTGACGATTTGTGTGTGGACGGGTCGTTGGAGTTCGGGATCGTGAAGTTCGGAGACGCCTAGGCACAGGCCAAAAATGCTGTGGACTCGCTTGAAACGCACGGGCTGCGAAGGGGCTGCCCGCAAGCGTTGCTGCTTTGGGCCTGGTGGGGTGACGACGAGTGTGGCGTAAACCAGGAACGCCATGGCTGCGGCGCATGAAACAGTGCTGCCTACGACCTTATAACTGCTGCAATTCTTATCGAAAGTTCATCCCGCTCCTCGTCTCGCTCAGAACCCCTTGGATATCTCTCCACACACGCACATACGGCCAACTTCCACCCTTCAGCATGCCGACCCCCATCGATCGCGCGGTCCAACAACGTGTAGGTTACTCATGGCTCTCCTGGCATCTACTTTACATAGTGGGCCTTCTACATGCAGCCATAATCACATGCTAAGACGATGCAGGGCCCGTTCTTCGCTTTTGCCGCAGTCGTCGCTGGTGTAGCAGCATGGAGCATCTGGGGACAAGACATCTTCCCTAGTCAAGACCCTACTGGCGGTACGTCGTTCTGAACCTCTTCATCGGCAAAGCATCGCACGTCCAGGTTTGCTGACAATGATTTCAGACCCAGAAACATGGACACATGATCAATGCGTTACCTGGCTAAAACACGTAAGTTCTTTACAGCCTCAGTGTGACGAAGGACACATGATAGCTTTGGCCACCTTTCAGCGATGAATGCCTTCTTCACACTGAGGTACACGCCGTTAGTATTCTTTACGCTAACGCCAAATCAGAGAAATTTACATCCCTCCCCTGTCGCAACAACCGCTGAGCTACTAGAGCGGATCAAGGCGAATATGAGGGTAGCCAGAGAGCGAACGCCGGGTCAATGAGCACATATAGCCCAAGATGTCTATCCAATCCGAATAAATTGCATGCTTAGTTACAGATTTTCTCCCATAACTCCTGCAGAATACCATGGGTAGTCGCCAGGCTGAGCCATCGTTGACCGATCGAACCTCGAATCAACCCCGACTACCTCCAGGCCTCACCATATTTTTCCCTCCATAACTCCTGCAAAACACCTTGGTAGTCGCCTCGCTGAGCTGTTGCTCACCGATTGAACGTCAAATCAACCTCGAATACCTCCACGCCTCATCGTATTTCTCGCCAAATAACTCCCGCAGAATGATTCGGTAGTCGCCTGGCTGAGCCATCGTCCATTCATCCAGAGCATAAAAAAACTTGACTTGCTCCCGGCCTCACCGTATCACATCAACGCCGTACTCCTGCCAACAAACTTTTGACCTGTTTCCTACACTCCACTCCCTACTTATTGTCGCCGTCCGCCTTCTTGAACTCCTGCAGGACCTCAACGCTGGCGTTATAGTGCTCTGCCTCCTCAGTGTACGCACTCTCTTCTTCCGTCATCTCTCGCTTGAGACGATCCAGCTCCTCCGCCATACGCTGCTTGTAGGGTCCCATCTGCGCATCGATTTCCACCTGCTTCTCAGCGGTCTCCGCACGCCTCTTGCGCATATCATCGAGCTTCTTTCGTTGATCTGCCAGCTGGCGCTCGATGGAAAGCGTCTTGGGTGTTGATGAGCGCGGAGCTGTAGGCAAGGTGGAGGGTGGCAAAGATGTCGGCACAGGCGTAGGTACGGATTTCGCACGCTTTGGCTCCGGTGTCATACCATTGGCGGTAGTAGATGAACGTTTGACTGGTACGACTGCCACTGGGGGCGTATCTGACTTCTTCTGACCGTTGGTAATGTTGGTAGTGACAGGTGCTGATTTCCCGGTCGCCTTATTTGCTGGAGTGATGGGCGTTTGCGGAGGCTGCTTGGTAGTCGCCTTGGCTACGGATACGGACTTCTCTGCGTGCGCATTTGCCGGCTTAGTGCTTGATTCTGGAAGGCTGGATACTTTCGCGATCATGTCGGCTACCGGTACAGAAGGCGCAGCGGCGATCTTTTCTGTAACTTTCTCACCACCGCTACCGGAATGAGAGGTAGAGGTGCTGTTATCAGTATCTCCATTGGCAATCTGCGCTTGTGCTCGAGGAGATGCCATCGTAGTTGCTTCGGGGGTCTTTGATTTGGGTCCAGGTTTCTTCTGAATGGGGCTGGAGATCTATAGGTAGGTATTAGAAGTAGGCAACAATTAGGCTGAGTCAGGAGTCAAAGGTGATGCGAAGATGGGGGCGGTGGGAAAGGTAAAGTTATGGAAACTTTTCTCTTACCTTTGGGGCTGTCTGTGCGCTTTTCGCTGGCGTCGTGGAAGGCATTGGCGATTCGGATCGCGACGAGGCATCTCCGTCGTTCTTTGATGCGGGCCTTGCACCCAAAACCAGAGGAGGAAGAGGCTCCAGCGCTAGAGTATGCGGGTCTGCCAATCCCGGATCTTTGGGGTCAAAGGTCATGATCATGTCTCGGTCCTCCATATCGTCTGAGTGCTATGTAAGCCTCGTACCTGAGAATGAGTTTGAGCAGCTGACCTTCACTGCGATAGTGGAAACGAAAGATGGCCCATGGCTCCGGACCTGGACGCTTTGCATCTGCCCTGCGCTTGTGCAGGTTCGGCTGCGTACCCTCCAACGGAACGATATTTTCTTCCAAAGACATCTTCAGAGTTGGAGGTACCTTCATGTAGCTTGCCTTCTGCTCGGTGCTGCCCGGATGATCCTCTTCAACACCACCTTCGATTTCGTAGTATTTTCTCACGTTACTGACTTCGTGAGAAACACCCAATTGTCGCGTGATGTACAAGCGATGCTCGATCGTTCCGATGGTTTCAGGCTCGTCACCTTGTGCCATGACCACATTCAAGAGAGGAGTTGCGGTCATCTCAGTGTCGATGATCTCTTTCCCATTCTTCCATAGGAACTTTTCGGTATCAATCTTCCTGTTGGTCTGCAAGCTTACAGCTTTTGCGACATATGAGTTGGCTTTTCGTAGCACTCCGTCCACAATGGTATCATAGGCCACGGCCAGAGTCTGAATCTTCGTTAGTTTCATCGTTCAGACCTTTGCAAGTATTGCGTACGGTGCCCGTGAACCTGCCGCCAACTCGAGGCTTGTGACCTTCGTCAATGACCACATAACAGCAGATGGCGTTGTCCCGTGGGTCGATGTACTGATCGTATTCCTCAAGCGCCGCAACCTGGCCATCGACATAGATGTTGACCTGTGCTCTTCGGTCGCTGCCCCTTTCGATAACCTTCATGATGGAGAGATTCGTTATGAGACGAAGAATGTGTATAATCGAGGCGTATCTTGCGATGACCCAGTATCTTTTCTCGCGTACGCTTGGACTGAGCCGAAAGTCAACGCGAAGTGACTACTCGACTGAGAGATACGGAAGTCGCTACTGTACCAGATTTGGCGCGACTGAGTTGGGTACGTGCCAAACTGCAGAGGAAGTGTCCAGGCGCCGGAATAGATCGTTGCTCACTAGCAGTATCCACAGCGTGAGAGGTGAAGGATGTTCGGAACTACAAGCGCCTCCACCGCCGACTGTCGCGCTTTGGGGCTTCGGTAGTCGCGTGCCTGCTGTTTTGGGCAACTAAGGGCAACCTGAACCTGGAGAAGGAAATTTGGTATCAGGCCGAAACGGAGAGAATATTCGAGATGGGAAGGAGTGGAGAGAGAGGAAGAGGGTGCGTCTTGAAGATTGGGAAACCTGATGAAGACGGCAGAGTAGTGAGGTGAAGGTGAGGCTACCTAGGTAGTTAGGTGGTTGACACGTGCTAGAGAAACGCTGTGTTGCCAGGGACAGCCACGTCTGCGAAAGTCCAAGTGAGAGTGACTGCATGAGCGCTCATACACCCAGTCCGATAAGACATACCGAACCTAGACTGCTCTGCGGAGCAGCACGACTTTGAGAGCCCGCATGCTATGTAGACTGCTAGAACAACTCCATTTGATTCTCTCGCTCGCCCTCAGAGTGACAGTCTTGACCGACTTGAAGTTTTCTAATAAAGGCCTGTAGGTTCTGCAATCCCTATCGCATACTTCAAAGAGGGCATTTGGCATGTTCTGAGAATTTTTGTTGATGGGTCATTGTGTGCTCCTGGAGCAATCTTGCACTGATCTCCTGAACGTGAGCTCTTCCATAGCCGTCTATCAGATGATTTCTGTTGTAGGATGAGATGTCGTGCTATGCAAATCGTAGCCCATGCGATCACATGCAAATGGAGTCGTGACGAATTAGGCAGGCACGGCGACTATGAAAATCGAAAGATTCATCCGGAATAGAAAAACTGCGAAAACGAGAAGAAGCAATTATCGGAACGAGTGAAAGACATCGTTGCCCTGCGTCGGAGATAATAGAGAGAGCGAGCCGCGGCGGAAGGACGGATGTGGTCATTCGCCAAGCGCGGTTTCTTCCTTCGGTTCGGATGCATTTTCGGGGGACGGCAGCTTCAGCTTGTTTCTCTCCACCTCAAATCCCTCACCACCAGCCCAACGCCGCAACTCCACCATGTTGTCGAGGACCTCTCAAAGAACAGCGCAGGTACGAGCAAGACGATGCGCCCGCAATTGGCGGGCGCGGTGGGAATTCAAGTGCTAATGCGCCTGTGCAGACGCTCCTGCGGGGCGCGAAGCCTGCCTCCCGATGGGCACCCGCCATGGCTACCCGCTGTACGAAGACCACGTGAAAGATATCCAGAAATGCAGAGTCTAACGCGGCGACAGCAATGGCCACGGTCACCCAAGACATCTTCAAGCCCACCAAGTTCGGCGGCAAATACACCGTTACCTTGATTCCCGGTATGCGCGATAGCCGCCTATAAATGGACATAGATTCTGAACATGCGCAGGTGACGGTATCGGTGCTGAGGTCTCCGAGTCGGTCAAGGAGATCTTCAAGGCGGACAACGTGCCCATTGAGTGGGAGCAGGTCGACGTCTCTGGTGTCGACTCTGGCAACGTCCACTCCGAGGAGCTCCTCCGCGAGTCCATTGCTTCGCTCAAGCGCAACAAGCTCGGTCTCAAGGGTATCCTCCACACGCCCGTCGAGCGCTCCGGCCACCGTTCCTTCAACGTTGCTCTCCGTCAAGAGCTCGACATCTACGCCTCCATCGTCCTCCTCAAGAACATCCCCGGTTATGAGACGCGCCACAAGGACATCGACTTCTGCATCATCCGTGAGAACACCGAGGGTGAATACTCTGGTCTCGAGCACCAGTCGGTCAACGGCGTCGTCGAGTCGCTCAAGATCATCACCCGCGAGAAGTCGGAGCGCATCGCCAAGTTTGCTTTCGCCTTTGCGCTCGCCAACAACCGCAAGAAGGTTACCTGCATCCACAAGGCCAACATCATGAAGCTCGCCGACGGTCTGTTCCGCAACACCGTCAAGAGGGTTGGTGAGGACTACCCCACTCTCGAGACCAACGACATGATTGTCGACAACGCCTCCATGCAGTGTGTCTCAAGGCCCCAGCAATTCGACGTCATGGTCATGCCCAACTTGTACGGAGGTATCCTTTCCAACATTGGTGCTGGTCTCGTTGGTGGTCCTGGTATCGTCCCCGGTTGCAACATGGGCCGTAACGTCGCCGTTTTCGAGCCTGGATGCCGTCACGTCGGTCTCGACATCAAGGGCAAGGACCAGGCCAACCCCACTGCTCTGATCCTGTCCGCCGCCATGATGCTCCGTCACATTGGTCTCGATGACCACGCCAACCGCATCTCGCAGTCCGTCTACAAGGTTATTGCTGACGGGTAAGTTCGAATTCCAAATGAAGAGCAACACATGACTAACACCGTCTAGTACCGCCCGCACACGCGACATGGGAGGCAACACCACCACCCACGAGTTCACCCGCGCAGTCCTGAACCAGATGGAGAAGGCATGATTTAGCCATCATGATCTTCGTGTTTGCTAAGCTTTGATCTAGCGCGATGATACCGTCACATCTAGGCCTCGGCTCACATTGGGTTAACCTAGGATATGGAGCAATAACATATTTTCTTAACGATTGGACGCAATGGCACTTGTACAACTACCAGCTGGAATGTGAATAGAGCTGTACTTGTAGGTGGTATATAGCATGCTGCATGATTGAATTGACCATTCTTATACCCTCATGAAAATGCCAGACCCAGAACTCCGTGCTATGCGTAACATCGTCATCGTGATGTCGTGGGTATATCTAGAATTGGATCCTCCTCTTCCTTCCAGTGTACTTGGACGAGGCCTTGACGACCTTTCCTTGTCTCTCCATCTGTTCCTTCTTCTTCATGATGTACGCCTTGCTGCCCTTGCGTTCCTCGCCCCTCTTCATGCCCTTGGCTTTTCTCCGTGCATCTTCGACGTCGACGCCGTCCATACCCCTCACAACGCCCGTGATGTCCCCATCCAGCGCGCCACCACCCACGGTCAGAACGAGATACGTCTTCGCGCTCTTCGTCCCCATATCGTCCTCCAACAGACCCGCACCGAAACCAGCCTTGATCGCCGCCTGCGCCACCATCTTCTTCTGTGCATCGTTCTTCGGGTAGAACTGACAAACGGCCCTCCCTCCCCTCTTCAAACTCGCATAAAGCTGGTTGAAGAACCTCGATAACCTGCCCGCAGGACTCTCCTCGCTCGTCTCAGCATTACACAGCCATTGAACCGCACTGATGCTAATCGCAGCATCGAAAGTTCCCGGCCGAAACGGTACGCCCTGCCCCGCATCCGCCAGCAGTAAATCTCCTTCTACCTCTTTCTCCAGCGCAACGCCCAGCATGGATGCGCTGATGTCGAAACCAATCCATACGTGTGGGCCGCCGGGTGTGCCTTGTTCAGCCGAATGCGACAGGATTTCGCCGCTGAGACCGGAGCCGCAGCCGACGTCGAGGATCATGGATGGCGAGGTGAGGGCGAGGAGGGAGAGGGCGCGGTGCGTCATTGTGGATTGGATCTTTTGGATACGCGACGAGGTTGTGTATTTGCGCGATTCGGAGTCATTGTAGAAGAGGTCAGGTGGTCTGCAGATGTGTAAGCGCTGAGTTCTTCGTTATGCGATTTGCGATTTGCGGTGCTGGGAGAATTGCGTACAGGATGTCTTCGGGGCGCGACATGGTTGCGGTTGTTAACTCTGAATCGCTGGACAAATGACTGTAATGCTCTTCTTGTCGCGTGGGTTATGGAACTTTTTTTGCGCAGTGATAGTCGGAAGCGAGCGTGCTGTCAGTTGCTCGATGCACCATCAGCCAAGAGTTCGCACGACTTTTTGGAGTTGGACCCCACACTCTGGCGCGGGTCCACGGGTTTCTCCGCTAGCCTTGATGCCACCTTTGGACTGACCTCATCGTGCCGCGGCCAAACTTCCAGCCTTCCACACTTCATCCCTCTTCGCATTCCCCTGAAGTGTGCCAAAAGTCAACATGTGGATATTACCGCTGCTTGGATATGTCGGCGTTATCCTGGGCTTCGCGTTCCTGACGCTTGCGATAGGTACTTTACTGTGATGCTCTTGGTCTTTGGCTTCATGGGGCTAACGCAACGTAGCTTCCGGCCTATACTACCTTTCTGAACTCGTGGAAGAGCATACCGTCTTCGCGAAGAAACTGCTCTACCGGCTCATTTATGGCGTCGTTGGCATACAAACACTCCTTCTCGTAGTCGATAGGTTTCCAATTGGACTCAGCGCATTGAGTGTCGGGTCGCATTTCATCTATGCGCAGAACCTAAGGCGGTTCCCTATCGTCAAGCTCACGGATCCACTCTTCTTGGCCTCTTGTGGTATGCTATGATGCTTGGAAGTCTCTACCGGCGCAACGCTGACCATCATTTCCAGCTCTTGTAATCGCGAACCACTACCTGTGGTTCCGCCACTTCAGTGCTCCGCCGGCGAACTCGTACTCCTCGTATCCCTATTCTCGCGATGCCAACATCCCCACCTTCACCGAAATCGCATCCTACTTCGGCCTCTGCGTGTGGCTAGTCCCCTTCGCCTTGTTCGTCTCCTTGTCTGCCGGCGAGAATGTCCTCCCCTCGATGGGCTCGGAGTACGCGACCGGAGATGGTAGCAGCTACATCACGCCAGGAACAGCACCAGCATCATACGGAACCGGAACAGGCATTGGCGTCGGTGGAGCCAGTAGTGGCGTGGAAGGGAAGAGGAGGGCGAGAAGCGGAACAAACGCAGGCATGGCGAAGGCTGTCGTCACTGGCGTCAGAGAGTGGGTTGGGGAGACAGGAGAGGTTATGGGGTTGTGGAAGGGTGAGAGGACAAGGCCAACATTCTAAGAGCTGGGTCTCTATGGGATACGATTGTACGAGTAATGTGGATGCTTCATGCAAAAGATTGTCGCAGATTGGTCGGTTTGCCTACGTGCCTGCACTTGTGTCTTTTCACTTTGCGAAAATTCGCGCCATTGTCGTGAAAAGCGCCAAACGATATAGCGCACGCGACTTCCAAGCCCAGAGGCCTTCACTTTGTCTCACCCCACTTCCCACCTCAACTTTGCGCCACAAGACACTTTTGGGGATCTCTGATTTACTATTCCTACACCTTCATTCGCGATGGACGACGTACACTCCTCACGCCTATACAAGGTGCTTCCGGTGCCCCAGGCGCCAATGCTGCACCGCGAGACTGCGTCTATTCAGCCAGAGAAGATCGATACGCGCAGCGCCCGCAATCTCTTGTGCAAGGTCTTCAAGAAACCCTACGCCCATCCGCCTACAGTAAAGAAGTTGCAGGCCAAGTGAGTGATATATTGGTCTGAAGAACGATTGCAGCGACTGACTTTGACACTCAGTCATGTTCAATTCCTACTTGAGACGCCTATCGGTCGCGACTTCAATCTGATCACCGCCGCTGGTGTGGAGTTCAAAGTACATTCTGTCATGTTGATTGGCGGCCCGAAGGTTTTACAGGAGGGACTGTTTCCTGGTGGTGTAAGCATTCCCTTCTTTACATTTGCTCTGATCGATACCAACACGGCCAGGCAACAATTCCAAACCCGCCAGAGTTCGTCAATTTGCCGCCTCACTTCCATCCTATCCTCATGGACCGTATTGTCAACTTCATCTACACATCGGACTACCTGGTCGTCCGGGACGGTAGCAAGCAACTCATTCAGAAGAACTTCAAGTTCTATCACGCAACTGTTATTCCAGATGTAAACCCGCCCACCGCCGCTACGACCGCTCTAGTCGACATACACGACTACACCTTCCATCTCCACATGTACGCTCTGGCTGAAGAGCTCGACTACGACGCGCTGAAGTCAGCTGCCCACACTAAGCTCGTTCAGCTCTTCATTAACGTGCGCAACGAAACTCTCTCCGCGATCAAAGACGCGATCAACGCTACTTTTGCCCCGTTGGGTAGCCCATCTCGTATCTGCAAAGACGAAGACGGCATGTTGCAGCAACTGGTCGTAGCAGCCGTCCTCGCGCACGAATTCAAGACCTGGACCGAAGCAGACCAAAAAGCATTCAGCGACGACATCCAAGGTCCTGAGTACGCCGACTTCCGCAACGCCTACAACATGGTCAAGGGCACGAACCAGGATCTGATCGAGATTGGGGATACTGCTAGGTCATTGGCGGCGGAGCGCAAGGCGGGTATGGAGCGCAGGAGAGCAGCCAAGAAGGCCGGTGTTGGAAATGTGGATCAGAGTAAGCTCATGGTTGGAAGCGGCTCGCCTTTGAGCGTGTTGAGCGCGCGGCCTGCAAATATGAAGGATAAGTTCAAGAGGCGCGTAGAGAAGCGGGGCGTTAGTTCGGTTGCGAAGGTGGATGGAGATGAGGATATGGATATGGAGGTTGACTAGACTGCTTGTCTCGTGGCGAGATGTGCACCCTGCAGTCTACGTTGACCTTACGTCGTCTACTTTGCATGCTTTTATCTTGATGTAGGCTGCAGACCTGTTTGGGGGTTTCTTAATAGGAGATGCTTTCCCGATTTAACTTGCCAAGATTGAGATAGTACGTGAATTGTAATGAAATGACGGTAATACCCTACGAGCTTATAATTAGCCAGATGCGTCGTATTTCTGCTTTTTGTTTGTGCGCAGGTGTTGATTATCTAGGCAGGGGGCAAGTGAGAGGTGCAGTTGCTTGGTGAGAGAACCTAAAGCGGAGGCGCTCGCTTCCGACTTCCGCCCGAACGCCTACATCATCTTTTCCCGTCCTTACACATCCCCGCCAACGACGAATAATTCCAACCAGCCAATCACCTCATTTTTGACATTGATCGAGCATCACTAGCCTTTCATCGGTCGTTCTTATTTTTGCGAAATCAAGCCGCGCTTCGGTGCCGGCTGTCATGGCTTGCAACAGTTGGGAGAAGCTGTGTAAGGCTCAGCGCGACTACCCAAAAGCGAAGTTCGCAGATTCGTTCGTATCAAAATCGCTCAAGAAGACGCCCAAGAACCCATTTCTCTTGGTATGTCAGTCGACATCGGAAATTTCATTCTCGGGCTAATTTCGAGCAGGCATGGAAAGCTCGGTTATGTCTTGCATTGAACAATGTGGACACCGATGTAGCAAATTTGGTACAACAGGCCTGGGAGCAGCCAGGGGTGAACGACATTCGGCTGCTGTCCTACTTATATAAGATCTTAGCCGACGCTACGCGAAAAGATCAGGACAATAACCTAAACATCAGCGGAGTGGGCGACGGGAACCTCAAAGTTTGGCAACGTGCTGCGAAAGCCTTGGGACGCAAGGAAGACCGTCAAGATCTCTGGTCTGCTCTAGCGAATGTGGCATTGGCAGAGGAATGCTGGGAAGACTTCCGCCTGGTACGTAAGAACCCGGCATCTGGCCACGACCTGATTGTATCTCGACACCTTTGAGAATGCGCATCTTCGCGCGCCTTCTCGCTACCATATAAAACTACAACAGGGTGATATTAGATTTGATACTAACGCTTGACAGGCTGTCTTTCACTACAGTAAAGAAACCAAGGAGGGCGCTGGATCAACACCTGCAAAAAAGCATGCCCACTTCACGCAAACACTCGCTATTCAACTCGCAGCCGAACAGCAGCGTGGGCTTCCTCAGGGCGAGATGAAAAGCAGACTTCAATTCGACCTGGCTCGTAGACTTTTGAAGCAAGCATACGAGGCGGCTCCAGATGACCCCATCGCTTTCAAGGATATACGCGACTTGCGTTTTATGGGCGAGATCTTCGCGCGGCAAGCGAAGTGTAGCGAGCTGTTCGAACACTGGAACCATCCGCCTGCAGCCCTCCAGGACCTTATGACGAAACATCGGGGTGACTTGTGGGGCATGAAGATTAGACTTGCACGGCAGAGCAAAGAATGGTCTCTACTTGAAAGCCAGTGTCTTGCGTACATTGAGCGCATCATATCACAGCAGGAAAGGTATGTTGAGTTGGCGGCGAAGTGTAAGATCGTAAAGTGGCTGCGGGTTGCTGCAGCGACTTCCAAACCCTACATTTTGCTGACGTCCTTAGCCTTCGAGAGACTTGTGCCTGGAAAAAAGATATTTGGACATCCTTATTAGCCGCCGCATACGCAACACGCTCCGCTGACGATGCTGTTCGCCTGATCTCCGATATCACAAGTCGTACTTTCAACCCGGAGGAGTTCCAAAGCCAAGACCGCCCCTTGAGACTTGCGTACATGACACTTCGCCAGAATGTCGCTCCAGGAACTCCAATGCTGGCCGACTGTAAGACGTACTGGAAGAACCACGCGAACCTTATCACATGTTACGCAGATATTCGACCATTCCTAGACGGCATGACCTCAAAGGACCGAGGAGAGCTCTGGGAATTTGCGGAAAATCACTACGAAGACGCGAGAAAGTTGTTGGCACAGAATCAGTACCCGGCTCAAGACTGGATTGTTCATTGCGGCAATCGTCTCAAGATGTGTTATCTTTTCTGGATATCACTCTCGACGCCATCTGCTCAAAGGTGGCAAGGGCTCATGGAGGTACCTTTGATCGCTGCATTGCGAGCCCCTCAGTTACGGACACCCAGGTCGCCTGAAGGTTTTGTTGCAATATACACACTCCTCTGGATTCACCAAGAAGCTATGCGCAACGAAGAGCCCGATCATCCCTTCGAAAATACGCCAAACTCACGAGTTCTCCTTCAAGCTGCAATGTTAGCACGCCATTTGGTGGCGAGCGATAAAGAAAAGCAAAACAGACCGCTGGCACTACTTGCTGCACGGCTGCACCTAAACCTCGGTCTAGGAAAATCCGCTTTCCAGCTGTACAGCCACACCAAATGCAAGGAGATGCTAGTGCATACTTTGTCACCATTTGTTCTGTCACGCATCTCACTGACACATCCATTTGGTGCCAAAGGCTACCAAGGATTCTCAGCCGAAGAGGAACTAGGGAAAGCTGTCGGGACAATGGAGAGGATGGAACGCAAGCTTAATGAGGCAGTATGTTCTGATCTCCAGTCGCTTCCATGGGATCAAGCTATGGAACTCTTGGCCGCGAAACGGGATTTCAAGTCGAGCTTGACAAAGCACATATGCAACACAGAGAGCCGTCGGATAGCACGACTCAAGGGTGAACCGATCGATAATCTTCCCGTTATCGACCCAAGTAGTATGTTAACACTCATTTCGAAGCTGGAAATTGGCTAATCCATGCAGGCTACCGGAATATCAAGGACGTCGTGGATAGAACCATATTCCCCAACTACGAGCACAGTCAGCATCCTGGACCACTTTCATACATCATGCCCAACGGCCTTCCTGAAGTTCATTGGCTGGCCAAGAGCCTTGATATCTGGGACGCGAGCAGTAGATTTCTCTATAGAGAGACACAGGTGTTGGAGTTCCAGGGCAAATGGATACACCAAGTTGCCATGCCTCCGGGTCATGCCTGGGAAACTCAGCCTGACATGACGCTTGCGGAATACCAAGTTGAGGACACATGGGATGCAATCAACCTCATCGTTAAGGCGATGATCTTGCCAGGACTTCCCTTGGAAACGCTTCCTGGGGTGCTGGAAGCACTTCTGGACCAGGTTTCCGAAATGCGACTTGCAATGGAGAACCTGCGTATGCCTGGCGCCACGCACCAAAACCCCGAAGACGAACCCACCATGTTCCACGAGAATATGCTAATGTCCTGTTATACCAAGTTCGAGGTACTGCGCGCACTCATCAAGTTGATCGAACACCTACGCGAGAAGGTCATCAATGCGAAGACCCACCGCATGAAGGCCAAGTTGTCAAAAAACTGGGTCAATGATATGGAAACTGAGACGAAGAATTTCTTCGAGGCGGTACGGGATGTGGCGCATAGCTACATCAATCTCATCGAACAGAGAGGTCGTGCTGCGATTAAGGCGCAGGTACGGTGGGGCAAGACGGGCGAGGCACTGAAGCATGTGCTGAGTGACGACGATGTCGACTTCTACGCAACTGAATATGTTGATAGCGCACTACAGGCATGGAGGGGTGTGCTACAAGTTAAATTGAAGTAGACGGGCAGATTACAATTACATCTCGCTTATCATCCCGCATGCCGGCCTCCTCAGGCGAGGTTCTGCGAGGACATTCTAGCTCGATTATCAGACCACCTCAGACAAGAAAAAAACTGAACAGGTCTGCAGACTACATTAAGACAAAAACTTGTAAAGTAGGTGACCTAACGTCAACGTAGCCCTGGAGACTCCAGGGTGTTCAGCTTTTTCTTAGGTTGGCGCGAGACCAATACTTTCCTCGACTTGCGTGCGAAGATGTTATGGCAATGAATAGCGACTGATACATCTCAGTGAAATGTTAGATATGAACGAACAGTCTGGTCTGCGCCTGAGTTGCGTCGGATCGAGATTACTGTTTTTACGTTGCTCTTGACTGAATACTGCTGCTTTCCCGCACTTCACAGCTAAATGAGGGAGGACACACTGCGCATCCTCGCACCTTCACGCTCAATTCTGAGCAGCGACTGTCACTTACAGTACTCTTTCCAATCTACGTCAGATCCAAGTGCTAGCGTTGATTGTTTAAAATGCAGCTCACCTCGTGAACTCTCCAGGCTCCCGTGTGCAAACGCAAACGCTGTATCCGCATAACCCAACTCACTCGCGTTCACCTCATTTTTAGCTCCGCCATCGTTACTCTTCCGCTATTCACCGAGGATTGCTTCAGAGTCTCATTATCACCGCATCACCGCCGACTCGGCTTTTCGTTTTCCTCCACTTCGTTGCACTTTCGCCCGCTTGCTTCTGCACATCCCTCGCTGTCTACACCACGCAAGCTCTTCGCCATGGCCTATCCCACGGGAAAACTCCCTTGGACAAATTCGCTGTCGGGACCCGGTTCTACCTCTGGCAACCAGTCAGTAGATCACACCGACGACGAGCTAGGTGAACGTACGAACTCCGACTCGGCGGCTTCCTCATCGTCAGCTCATGGTTCTGCCTCTGGCGAACATCCAGATGAGCCCTTCATTGGCCCGCTCCCTGAAGGCACAGACTGCCCGACGTCCTCGTCGCCAAGTCACGGTTCTGGCCTCAGCGCTCTACCGTCTTCATCGCCTGATCACCAACCAGATGGACGCAACAAGAACACGCTTCCTGAACGTACAGACTCACTCGCAGATCCTGGCGGCCCACGGAAAATAGGGACGGACTTATCAAACATGACGGAGGATGAGAGAAGGGAATGGGCTTGGGACATTGCCGACCCCAATCGCAAACCCAAATCCAAACCCGTCAGGCCCGACCCCAACAGCCACTACGTCTCTCCCGAGGGTAAAGTAGCCGCCTCGAATAGCTTTTAGATTATCTTGCTAACTTATTACTAGTATGTAGCTCCCTTGCTATGCTTTGCCAACGCGGTTCTGAGACACTCTGCTACATGTAGCTCCCTTGCTATGCTTTGCTAACGCGGTACTGAGACATCTTTCTATTCGTGCTAACAGCTTCACAGACGTTTCAAACAGCGATGTACGATCTCACCGGAGATATAAACCTGAGACCCAAGGGGCATTCGAGCGGCAAGTGGCGCTGTTGCAAGTGTAACCGTCGCCACAAGGTCTACGTTCAACCACATATCCACCCACTCCACGTTTTGAGCTGCGAATGTACCCACCGATCTTGTGCTAAGTGCAAACTGGAGGAACATCCTGCCAACTATCCTGCACCAACCCGGCCACAACGTTCTCCTCGGGTTCTGGTCAAACAGTTCCAACCGATGAACGACCCGGAGGTGATCCCTTTGTCTGAGGACAGCGCCAGGGCTATACGATTTGGCGTCGTCTGCGAAGGCTGTGGTCGATCGTGGCTCGCACGGAGAGTCCCAGTCGAGTTCAAGAAGACACCGAAGAAGTCGCTCCTAGAACGTCTACCTACGCTCCCCAAGTTCCCAAAAAAGCGCGGTGGTGGTGCACCCACTTTGAAGGACCTGCGATCTAGTCGGTCGATGAGCAACCTCCACGATCCTACTGAGTCACGTCGCCAGGCTGCGCCGCCGGCCGCTTCCAGGTCCAGCTTCGACCTCCAAACCCTTCGGAAGTCGATGAAGAAACTGCATGGGACACAAGCTGAGCCGGTTCCTGTCAAGTTCGTGGGCATCAAGTGTCTCTGTACTATGATTACTGCAGACACTTCCCTCTGTTTCCAGATCATGGATAAGCCGGAGGACCACAACCAGACCCAGTCGGCGAATCAGGTGGCCGCACGCAAGCCGGCTGGCTTTGGCAGCACGCCGGCAGACACTGCGAGAGGTCATGGTACCCCGACCTTGACGTTGAGGGGAAAAAAGCACGAAAACCCGCTCATGAGCAACCTTGTCGCCTAGAAGGACGAGAGCAAGAAATTCCTCCATGATCTTCTGCCAAAACGTCGGAGGTGAGACCGGTCAGAGTGAGTACTTGGATGAGGAGACAGCGTTGGTGAGATTGGTGCATCAGGCCGAGATTTAAGGCCGCAGGAACCGGGTTTTGTCCAAAGTTACCCGTGTTCTATCTTTCTTGCACGTCATAGAAAGAAAAAATTGAACAGGTGCTCTACTGTCTACATTAGTATAAGAGTTGAAGTTTACACATTGCCCACAGCAATGTAGACTTCTGGGAGGTAGATGTTCAGTTTTTTCTGTGTACAAGGTGCTTTCATGGATGTTTCGGTCAGAAATTGGAGATGCACTATGCAAGTGCTCAGGGATTGGCATATTTCATTTCTTTCTTGTTTGGGCGTCTACTGCGTGGTCAACAATGCATCGCTGGAAATCGTAGGCAGACGTGGCTTGACTGTTCATATGGGCTTTTGAGTCTGTCGATCGTTGTCAGTCAGCATTCCGTACGCTAGGCGATAATTAGGCCCTTTTTGACTCCATCGTTGATCCTGATGTGATGTTGCACCTGTGACTGCATCGCCACACCGGGTTCCTCTTATGACCAGGGCTTCTCTTAACGCGGGCGTCAAGGCGTGATCCACATTCTTTATGTGGGGAAGGTAATACTCGGTGCTAGTGTGATCAGCGTGCTCCAGCCTCTTCGCGCCCTTATGTGAGCTTCAGCCTTAGCTGTGACTGCCATCTACACATCGTGATAGCTCTGCCGGCCAAGTCTGTGACTCTCGTACACCGATCCCAACATCACGAGATCACTTACTCAATACACTAGTGTGTAGCTGTGTGATTAACACGATTGCTTCGCGTGGTCCGGGTAATTGCCTTGAATGGCAGCCTTAGACAGCCTTGCCGCAGACGCCACAAAGAGAACGAACGAGACACCAGCGGCACTGCCCCGGTACCGACCAATGTATGGTTAATATCCTAGACTGAAGAAGTCGGTGTGTGAAGAATCGCGCGCGTGCAGTGTATGGCATGAATTACCGCCATGCGAACCGTCAGCCGCCCTGTTGGGGTCTGCGCCTCAACCTTGTGGATCCCAGGCGCCAAACGTCCAGGCAGCGTCAATGAAGCGCAAATAAAGAGGACAAAGCGATGCGCATTGTGAAGTATCTGCCCCATCATTCCAGTCACAGTTTCGTATCACAAACAACATCTGAGTCGATTGCGTTGCCAACAGTATCCGTGTGCGATTCCGTTTGCATCGTTCCACGACTGCCCCGAGACCCCAGACATACCGGCCTCAAGGGTCCAAGCTATGTCATTGGCCCGGTATGACTAGACCCCACCAAAAAGCATAAGAACCACGGAACTGACTTGCATTTCCAGCTTCCACACTTTCCATCAGCCTTCTTCATACACCCCTACAGCCCGAGCAGCTACTTTCCCTACCAATTCCGGAGTTTTCGCCGCCAGAAACCGACTGCAGCAGTTGACAAGCCAGTTAACGAAGAGCTCAATCATGTCCGAGATGCCCGAGAAGTCCCAAGATAAGAACGAGACTACCAACAGCGAGTCGACTGAGGAAATCAAGCCTGAACTATCGTTTACGGGAGGAGAAAAGATTGGGAAGGCCCAACTTCCAGAGTTGCCATCACCGCCGCCAGAAGAACACAAGGAATTTACACACTGTACCCCTAAGTACTCGACTCCAGGTTTTAATGCCGTGGATCCGCCTCCATACCGCAAATTCAACGTCTTCACCGCTGGTAGTATAGAGATGGGTAAAGCGGTCGAGTGGCAGTCGCTCATGGCACAGCTACTTTCGCACCTGCCCATCACTGTGTGCGATCCACGACGACCAGAACATGATTGGGACAAAGCCAAAGCTTTCGTTCCAGATCAGAATAAACTTACAGGAATGCAAGCACAAATCGACTGGGAACTGGACGCGTTAGAACAAGTAGACGTCATCTGCTTCTTCTTCGATGTCGACACCAACAGCCCAGTCTCTCTGCTCGAGTTGGGTCTGTGGGCTCATTCCAAAAAGGTGGTGGTTTGCTGTGACGACCGGTACCATAAACATCCCAACGTTAAGCTTACGTGTGAGAGATATGGGGTCCCGTTAACCAGTTCGTTCAAAGACCTGGCGGAAAAGGTCGAAAAGATGCTGGTGGACAAGGGCATGAAACTTGACAGCAAGGGCAACTTGATCGGAGATAATGTTCATAAGCGCAAGCCGAAGCCGCATCAGACGTCGGAAGCGCAGCTTGAGGCGGACAAGGCTGCGTTGCACAAGCAGGTCGATGAGCTCAAGGCGATGCTGGCGACACAGTCGAAGATGTGATCACGGTGAGCTGCATGGGCTCTGGTTTGACTGGCGTTGGTGGAGTTTCTGTCTGTTCAATAATAACCAGCGTGGGGGGGGATGTCTCAATTACTGGTACAGCCCTGCTTTGGCTGTATCACATGTCTCTCATTTATACATGTCTCTATACCCAGACTTTCTTACCCAATGGCTTTTTTACCTTCTCAGAATAGATGAATAAACTAATGCCCCCTCCGGCTCAGGTCAAACTCTCCGCTTCACTGGGTTGATGATTTCCTCGTATCTGTCATTCCTGACAGACATATCACATCGCGGCATCTATGTGATGTTGGACCTTTCGTAATATGTGCTCGTCAAAGCACCGTAATCATGAGTCTGCCAGGACTACCGCCTTGCTAACCGCATGTATATGTCTTGCAGCAGGTTCGAAAGGAAGACTTAGACCACATCGCATCTTTGCTCTTTCCCAAGTCTCTTCTCGGTTCGGTATATGCCGTGTTCCAGGGAACATGCCCTGACGATCTTTCCTACTACCTTTTGGGTCATGGTTTTCAGATGCGCCGAATGATAAGACTAGGCGTGGCAGACCTCCCTGTGACCTAGACAGTCGAGTATCCACCGTACGCAACCAACTCGCAGCCCTGCAGCCTCGAAGACAGTATAAGCGTCACAGAGGCGGACAATCGACATGATAGTCCGCTATCTCGATGTGATACACCCTCCCCACTGACTCTCGTCATCTGTTCATCCTAGGGAAAGGTGACAACGTCTCCGTTTCCCCCAGAATATTAAACATCCCACTCATCACCCAACCTCAACTTCAAACCCAACTCTAACCCACAAACTACACCCCACACACCCAACCAACACCTCCTTCTCGCCCCTCTCCTCCGCATCCTCCAACTCTTCTTCCAAAATACTGAAACCCTTGTCTGCACCACACCGACAGCCTCGCGTCCACGTCGTCTGCCCTTCTGCCCCTTCTCCTCCTCCTTGCGCACCCACAGAAGTAGATGTATCCACATCACCCCCCTCCCACATCTCAAAATCCGCCAAATCAAGCAACTCAAGCCCCAGCACAAAATCACTCGACAACTGCACTTCCCCCCTCGCACCCTCCTTGCCCGTCGTCGTCGTCGTGATCAGCCCATCGCCATGGCGCAAGAACCAATTATCGTATTCGGATTTTGAGGTTGCATTCGCGAGGGTCGTGTAGGCTTCTTTGACGTCGTCGACAGTGTACGCGGGTTTCGTCTTCGTCTTCGTCTGCGTTGCGTTCGTGGTCGTGGTCGTGGCGGCGACGGCGCTGGCTTTATCTGGGTGCGCGGCTAGCAGGGCGAGTTTGTATGCTCGGCGGAGGTCCGCTGGGCTGGTCTGCTGTTTCGAGGTCCAGCCTGGCGCCGGCAGCTGCAGGATGTGGTAGTAGTCTTTGGTGTAGGCCATGGTTTTTTTTTGGCTTTGCGCGGGCGGTCGTGATTTATATGGGTCGTGCGGAGGGCAAAAATAGGGCTCTAGGGAACAGAATATATTTTATGAAATTATGAGCGCCGCTCGCCCTTGGAGGGCTGGTTCGGAACTTTTGCCATACGCGACGCGACATGAGAAACGGAAAAGTTGGGCGGGGAGGTCGCTCGGCTCCAAGTGGTGGGGCGGTTCATCCC